CCTCGGCCTCCCAAAGTGCTGGGATTACAGGCTTGAGCCACCGCGCCCGGCTTGTTTTGTTTTTTGAGACGGAGTCTTGCTCTGTTGCCCAGGCTGGAATGAAGTGGCATGATCTCTGCTCACTACAACTGCTGCCTCCCAGATTCAAGTGATTCTTCTGCCTCAGCCTCCTGAGTAGCCAGGATTACAGGCGCATGCCACTATGCCCGGCTAACTTTTGTATTTTTAGTAGAGACGGGGTTTCACCATGTTGACCGGGATGGTCTCGATCTCTTGACCTCGTGATCCACCCGCCTTGGCCTCCCAAAGTGCTGGGATTACAGGCATGAGCCACTGCGCCCAGCCCGTTTAGCATTTTAAAAAAATCTCAACATAAAGAAAAGCTAGAAACACAAATACTTACCATTGTGTTACAGTTACCTTCAGCATTCAGTACACTCTACGTGTTGTGGAGGTTTGTAGCCTAGAGGCAACACACTGTACCGTACAGCCTAGGTGTGTAGTTGGCTCTGCCACCTAGGTTTGTGAGTACACTCTATGAAATCTGCACAACAACGCACTCACCTAATAATGCATTTCTCAGAATGCATCCCTATTGTTAAGTGATGCATACTGGACTTTATGCACTAAAAAAAAAAGCCAGAACACTCCTTATGTACCACATAGACTTTACCAAACATTGAGAAAAAACAGAAGCAAAAAGGAGACAATCCTACAATGAAAAGGAGACACTCATGTCTACCCTAGTGATTCACTGTGTCTGGAGGAGGTGAGGGGGCCACAGACAGTTCTGCAAATATAATACGGATATAGCCAACAACCAGCGTGTTTGCCCTTCCTTTATCAGTGAAAACAAACTGAGAGCTGAAGTGTATGAACAGTTCCCTAGTAGTCTTTTTGAGAAAAAGATTCAAATGTGCATCAATATGTCAAAACTGACAGATACAAGAAAACCATTCAGCTAGAGATAATTCACAGCATTTTATTCAAGTTAGTCCATTACATTCAATAATCTGCCATACTGTTCCCAGCACCACTATTACTGTCTCTATTTCTCTTTGGAGAAGACCGGGTATTAAGAAATCTGGTTTGAATTTCCATGATGCCTAACTCTATATGGCCAAAAATCCTCTTCTTTACCAAAAAGCAGCTTCTTAATCACAAGAGAAATAGATGGAAAGACTGAGATATATTTGCAGAAATTTATCTCTACTGGAGACAATTCATAGTTCATAATATTTCAGGGTTGTGCTTTACTCGGGGACTCTGTTTTGGGGAGGGGGTTGTTTTTCCTAAATGTTTGCTTAATACAAATAACTTGCCCCACTGTATCACAGATGGGAAATGAGGACTAGTCCCCAGAGAACAAGCAGGCAGTCCTCCAGGGAACAAGCCTTAATGGCTCCTAGTGGTGACACAGTCATTCTGCTTCCCCAACCTGTGAGCAATAATAAAGTATGACCAAGTGAACAGGAGGTAGTAACTAGCCAGATAATCCATGGGCTAGAATCTCTAAACAGGAATGCTTGTGTGTTTTGAATCATTCAGAGCTGGAAAGAGACACTTTTGGAGAATAGAAAAGTGTGAAAAAGATAAAGGTTTCTCACCAAGGAACCCATAAAAAAGGTGGTACCAGTCAAAGGTAGTCTTGTGCTTTTCTTTTGAGATGAGGGTACCCCAAATGGGTTGTGCCATTTTCACATAAAAATTGGAATGATAATGAACAAGTGAAAGTGAAATCAGTTTCTGTCCTTTGTTCAATAAACATGGATAGAGCACCTGTGTGCAAGGTAATGGGAGGTGCTGAGGGGAAAGGTAAAGCTGTTTAAGCTGTGGCCCTGAGCTGAAGGAGCAATCTAGCAGTGCCAGCAGACCCCACACACTACAGAGCAGTGTCCCAGGGGTCAGGCGGAGGGAAGGATCACTTCCGGCTGCAGCATCAGGGAAGGCACTCTGCAGCCTCCCCTCCGGGTTCTCAGCGTGCCTCTATGTGGCCGCTTAGCCTGCCCCATTCCAGGCACTTGCGCATCTTCCTTATCTTTCTCTGTAGGGTGAGAAATGGAAGTTTGAGAGGATAAGATCCTGCCTCACAGGTACTTAATAAATGTGTGTGGAATTGATGTATGGTGAAAGTGACACTTTATCTTAGTGCAGCAAGGTGGAAAGAGCTTTGGGAAAGGAGAGGAAAGACGGTGGTAGTGAGGGTAAGGTGTTTTCATCAGAAGATGGGAGCAAGGGTATACAAACCAAAAAGTCAATTTAGTATGTGGCTTAGCCTAGAGGGCCCCAACACAATCAAAGGCCATAAAAAGGTAGCTGAAGTCCTCTGCCAATAGAACTGAAAAGCTAAAATCTTTCTCTGTTTCTTTTTGAAGTAACAACTGGTCTATTCAAGCTCAACCAGAGCATATAAGAGAAAAATGACTAATGAGAGGGTCTGAAATAGCTTTGAAGGACAGTCAGATTCTAGAAAGTAGAAAGATCACTGAGTAAACACTGTACCTCCCTTATCCTACACACACAAAAAAGGTGAACATGAATGTAAATGTGTAGAGCAAACTTTTGGGCGTCTTCAAGTTTGTTTTTGGCGCTTCGGTTTGTAAGCAATCAAGATGCTGAGAGACGCTATCCCAAAGAAGAAAGTCTGTAGGAACCAGAGTAGCCGAGCCTGACCACTTGTGATGCCTTTGTGCCTAAAAAAAAAAAAAAAAGAAAAGAAAAAAGAAAACAAAGTTTTAATACCAGAATGTTACATCTTACAGCTCCATGGGAGTTACTGTCTTCTATATATTTTTTAAAAATTATACCTTCCACTACTTTCCTTGGGTTTATTTTGCTGCTTTTCTCTGGCTTATCTTGGATGGTTCATTTATTTTTCATCTTTCTTGTTTTCCAATAAATGTATTTTGGATACTACAGCCTTCCCTGAGAACCAGTCTGGCTACTGTCTGGGGCACAGTATTATAAAACTGTTTCTCATGTAATTCTGATAAGTGGAGGGAGTAAAAAGCACTGGTATGGCTTCAGAGCAAATGTTCTGAAGACAGACCAGATACAGATCCCAGCGTGACCACCTACCAGCTGTGACCTGGGAAAATCACTCAGTATCCCTCAGAATCAGTCTCCTTACCTGAAAAATGGGAATGGCAGTAGCTATCTCACTGAATGTTGAGATGACTGATGGGATAATACACACAGAGTGCTCAGAAGGAGCCTGGTATACAGTCATGATAAACACCTGCCTGTAACATCGTTCAAATTAAACTGCCTAAAACAAAGTGCAAAA